CAATCAAAAAGCATGAGTTAATCACTTACTAAGTGCCAGACACTGTGTAAGGTGCTGGGAATATAAATACAAGCAAAAAGAAAGAACTTCTGCCCTTAAGGAGCTCACATTGTAATGAAGGAAGATAACATATAAAAGGGAGTAAGGAGGAGGCTGCTAGGAGCAGTCTAAATTATAGCCTGGTGAGAAATGAAGAGACCTTTGGCTTGAGAATCCTCCTTAAATGAGGCTCTGGGAGATTCCATTCAATGAGGGAAGGACTGATGATACTTCAGGCAGAGGGTACTTGAGAGTTGTGAGTTCCAGGGCTGAAGTGTTCTTCCTAGGATGAAAAGGTTTCTGGGGCATGGTGGAGAAGTCCAGAATTCAGTCTAATGAGAAATGAAGAGACAGCTGGCCTGCATTCCCTCCCACCAAGGAAAAGTAGAATTTGTTAATAAAGTAAAAACATTCAATGGCTCTCCATTACCTATAGGATAAAGTACAAATGTCCTAGTTTGATATTCAAAGTCCTCCATAATCTTCCTTTTACAACGTTATCTCCCATGGTGGCCTAATACAAACTCATCTCTCTACGCAGACTCTTCTCCTACTGTCCACTAAAATAGCTGTACTTGGGGTCACTTTAGTGACCTTTAATCCTTTATGCCAATTAAGTCTGGAGAATGGGTCCAATATCTTTTAAGGAAAAATTAGCTTCACCTACAGTGGTAGGCTTTCTCAGACTCTGTGGCAAGGTATTATGAGATATTGTTTCTACAGTAACACTTAAGTATTACCTAGTATTGTTATTTAATTTTTATGTGTATCTTTCTTGATTGACCAACTAGATTATGCATGCTCCTGGAGGGTGGGATGAGGGGAATCACAGGATTATAGATTTCTTTTTGGAAGAACTAAAGTTGTGAATGCTGTGGATAAGTTCACTTACCTTGGTAGTGTACTTTCCAAGGATGTACACATTGATAATGAGGTTGATGCACCCTTTGCCAGAGCTAGGTCAGTGTTTGGGAGGCTCCAAAGGAAAGAGTGGGAGAGAAGAGGTTTTAGACTGACTACTAAACTGAAGGTCTACAGAGCTGTTGAGCTGACCTCATTGTTGTATGCCTGTGAAACCTGGACAGCCTACCAGCGCCATGCCAGGAAACTGAATCACTCCCATTTGAATTGTCATAGGAAGATTCTGAAAGTCACCTGGCAGGATAAGATACCAGACATTGAGGTCCTTTCTCGAACTAAACTGCCAAGCATTCAAACTCTACTGCAACTCCAATGGGCTGGCCATGTTGTTCCAATGTAAACATAGGCTTGCCAAAAAGAATATTTTTACGGAGAACTCACATGAGGCAAGCACTCACACAGTGGTCAGAAGAAGTGATACTAGGACACTCTCAAGGTCTCTCTTAAGAACTTTGGAATTATTGTCTGACATGGGAGACACTGGCACAGGACTGCTTGGCATGGCATGTCCACATCAGAGAACGTGCTGTGCTCCATGAGCAAAGCAGAATTGAAGTAGCTCAAAAGAAATGTGAGATGTGCAAACTTAGAGAATCCATCCAAATATTCACATGGACTATTTGTGCCCGACCTATGGTAGAACATTCTGAGCTTGTATTGGTTTGATCAGCCACAATAGGACACACTGTAACTTGACTCTAGTACAGTGATGTCATTTTGGTCCTCTTCGATAATCTAGATAATCTGTCTGACATCCTCATTTTACAGGTAAGGAAACTGAAACAAGAGAGGTTTTCCCAAGGTTAAACAGGTAACAAGTGGCAAAGCCAGAACTCGAAAACAGGTCCTCTCTTTAGCATTCTAAGATTTAGCATTCTTTCCACTACAACAGTCATGGCCTACATCTTATATTTCGTGGCATTGGCTATATAGAATCTCTCTCTCTCTCTCTCTCTCTCTCTCTCTCTCTCTCTCTCTCTCTCTCTCTCTCTCTCTCTCTCTCTCTTTTGGCTGGGCAATGAGGTTAAATGACTTGCCCAGGGTCACACAGCTAGTAAGTGTCAAGTATCTGAGGCCAAATATGAACTCAGGTCCTCCCGACGTCAGGGCCGAAACTCTATCCACTGTGCCACCTAGCTACCCCCTAACATCTCTAATTATTTGTTGAATGAATGAAATATAAGGTTCAGGGTTCCAAGGAGTGAGCCAGTTACAGTGGGAAAGTCAGGCCACAGTCTATGAAAAGAGAGCCATTGATTTATCCTGGCTCTTCCCTACAGACTGCTTCCCTAGCTTTGAATGCTGTTCATCTACCTTAAGTCTATCAAGTGTTTGTCTTCATCCATTTCTGGATCATACCTATGATTTCAACAGTGATGTTGAACAGTGAACAGGGAAGTGATGGGATGGCTCAAGTGCTATACTGGACAAGTCATTCAATCTCTTTTAGCCTCATTTTTCTTATCTGTAAAGTGGGGACAATAATAACACCTACCTAATTGAATTGTAAGACTCAAAAGCCAATATGTATGGTTATTCATATATGTATGTGTATTTATATAGTCATATATTTCTTATGGCACAATATTATTCTATTACATTCATATACTATGATTTGTTTAGCCTTTTTTTTTTAAGGCAATTGGGGTTAGGTTCACACTGCTAGTAAGTGTCAAGGGTTTGGTCTGAGGCTGGATTTGAACTCGGGTCCTCCTGACTTCAGGGCTGGTGCTCTATCCACTGCAACACCTAGCTGCTCCTGTTTAGCCATTCTTAACTGATGGCTTATCCCCTTAGTTTCCTTCTGTAAGAGGGCAGTAATCTTGGCTATAAATATATATATATATATATATATATATATCTCATATATATATATACGTGTGTGTGTATATATATATGTAGATACAGATGTATACACACATATATGAAATATGCTTTGCAAATTTAGATCATGCCTTGCAAACTTTGAAGGCACTACATAAATGTTGGCTATTATTATCAGCACCTGCTCTGCAACTCCTATATGATCTCAGAGTTGCCCAGAGCACAGAGTTTCAGGGACTTGCCTAGGGGTCCCACAGCCAGTATGTGCCAGAGAAGGGTCTTGACACGTATTTCTATATCAGAAACACCCCATTCTTTTTTTTAATTTTTTATTTTTTGAAACATCCCCCCCCATTCTCCATAGATCCTTCCTTGTTGCTGTTCAGTCCTGTCCTACTCTGTGACCCCATTTGGGGTTTTCTTGGTAAAAATACTGGAGTGGTTTGCCATTTCCTTCTCTAGATCATTTGACAGATGGGGAAATTGAGGCAAATGGGGTTAAGTGACTTGTTCAGGATTATACAGTTAGTAAGTGTCTGAGGTCAAATTTGAACTCAGGAAGGTGAGGTTTCCTGACTTCAACCCAGCACTCTATCCACTGCCGCCTTCTTCAGTCTAATGGATTTAAAATACATCTGCTTTCCAATCACTTTGTGCTGATGCTTAGAAATGAACAGTGCTGAAGAAATTCTGAACCAGCCTTTAGATCTGAGAGCTAGATAAGGCTCTCTAAGAGTATTATACCCTTATGCTGGCTTAGGAGGCCAAAGAGGCTACAGTGACATCTTCCGGCCACTAGGGGCCAGAGACATATCAGACAAACCGGACCATCTCCCTCCTCTCTTCCCCTAGCCCTGCCCCCTTTTAAGTTAAACTTTTCTTCTCTTTCTACCTAGCAAAGAACCAAGCCTCAAACCCAAATTACTCTAGCTCTCACTGATTGGCCAATAATAAATCCCAGCCTAAGTCTCACTTGGGCATTGTTTGGGTTTTGATGGCTCAGAGTGAGTGTAATTCCTATTTGGGCAGAAACTCTAAGGGTCTTCCCCTCCCAGATTTTTTTTTAAAACTAGATAAAAGAAGCCATTCTCCCCCCCATCCCCCTTTTCTTACCTAGCCTTAATCATTGAATGGATGTTGCCTCAGACAAACTGAGACCTGGGAAAGACCTTAACTTAAAAAGGTCAAGTTCTCCCACTCCACAGGGGCCATCTCCACTCCTCTAGATCTATATCTTGCCACTGGACACAGATGGCTCCGGAGGAAAGCAAAGGCTGGTGACTTTGCACAGCCCCTCCCTCAATTAAATCCAATTTCCTTGCAAGTCAAGATATCACCTTCCTAAGGTCTTTGGTCCTCTTTGAAAACCGACAAACAATAACACCCCCACCACCTAGGAGAGATAGTTTTGATGTTCTCCCAGTTGTCAAGGACTAACAATAACCATTTAGATGGTGTTTTTAAAGGTATAAAAACAAACATCTTTACTCCTTTGTCAGCCTAGTGAGTCTCTCAATCCTTTTTACCATTAAAAAAAAAGTCCTTCAGGGAGTATGCCTATGAATATCATATAACAAAGATGTGTTTGAGGCACATTGTAAAGGCAAATATAAATGTTATATGAGCCAGATTTTTCCAGTGTCTAAATTCTTTGGGAATAAGTTTGGCTTGATTGGAATCCACCTTATGTCCTAGGGCTCCACTTAAAACACTAAATGATACTCTAGTGGTCCGAAAGTATTACTGCACCTTCCAGAAAGTGTCTAATTTACTCCTCGGGATTACTTTAAATGCACTGAGAGAATCTGGCTCACAGAGCATTTCCACTAGCAGTGTGCTTTTCAGTCATTAATCACATCTTTGTTATTTGATATCCATGTGAATACTCCTAAGTAAAAGCAGTTCTTGCTCAAAGTACATTGAAATAAAGCACTGATTATCTGATTGAGTGATTCTCAGCCCTGGCTCTGTGCCACTCCAGCGTGTCTCTAGTTATCCAAGGGTCATCATAGAATTGTAAAAGCAACAAAAAGTCAATACAAAATTATTTTTAGTTAATTCTAATAAAAAAAATCCACAACTATGTTATATCGCACTTTTTGGAGGAGTTTGTGTGTATAGTAGACTCAGTTAAATGTTGCAGCTCCAGAGATTGTAAACCACTGCTTTAATTTAAAAGGCACTCACTTTGTCAGGTGTATAATTATTGAATTATGATCATTTAAAATACATTATTTACCTTTGCTCCATAAAGCACAGTAACTTGGGAAATCTTGGCTTGGGGTTTTACATTACAAACAGAAGTGGTTTGAGAAGTTTGTTCAGGTTTGTCCTCACATAAGAAAATTCGAACAGGAAATAGAAACATGTTTGTGTGTTGTTTTTTAGAAACTTACATTTTGGATTTATAGATTTAAAAAACTGGCTATCAAATGTCGTATTTTCTTAAACTTCCTTTACGTTAATGAATCAACTGAAAACATCCTTCGAAAACGAGAATGGTTTTGGGTATGAAGTAGGGAGAAATCTGTTGAACATCCATTCTATAAAGATCTGTTATGGGAAAAGAGAACGGAGGGAAAAGCATATGCGGCAAGTAAAGAGCCAGGATAGAAAGAAGGAAAGGAGAAAGGGAGTGAAGGAGAGAGGAAGAGAGGGAGGAGGGAGGGGGAAAAAAAAGAAAGAGGCGGGAACTAGAGGGAGAAAGAAGGAAGGAGTGAAGAGCGACTTATTTGAATAGCGCCTCATTGTGCAGCCAGGCTCCTCCCAGCTGCCGCTTTGGAACCTACTTGTGAATCAGCCGAATGCAAGGAAGGAGAACGTAATTCTATGCCTTGCACAGATGACAGAGAGGAGAAGAAACACTGTTCTACTATTAAGCATGGAACATTAGACCTAATAAAAGCCGGGTTCGGGTCACTGGGATGGAGGAGCTGGAACTGCTGTCTCCTTGCCCAGGCTCCCGTCTCTCCCACTCTGGTCTCTTCCTCCGCCTGTCTCCTCCTTTCCCCGGGGCTCTGCTGAGTTCATTCACTGGGATTGGTTTCAAATGACGCCATCGCTTTATTTTTAAACCAATGACCTCATCCTAGCTTGAAGTTTCCTGACCAGCGACTCTTTCTCTTTTCCCCCCTAACCCTCCCCCTCCCCCCTGCCTTTTTCCCTACTTCTGTGTATCACTGTTTTTGGGGGGGAGGGAGATTTAATTATTTTAGAAAAAAACTATTATTATTCATTTTCCCCCCTTGACTTTCTCTACAAGTCTCCACTTTTCCTCCCTAAGTTTTTCATCCTTTTTGACTTTCTTTTTTTTAAAACTCAAAGCAGGTTGGGGGTGGGAGAAGAAGAGTTGCAAATTTCCTCTCTTCCCAACCCTCCCGTCGCCAAGACTCGGAGAAGGAGAAGATAATAGAGAAAAGAGGAGGAGGAGGAGGAAGAAGAGGGGAGGAGGAGGAGGAGGAGGAGAGAAGCCGGGCCAGCGTTGGCGGCGGCGGCTCCTCGGAAGGGGAAGAGCCCCCGGGAGACGGACGCGGGTGACAACTTTCGTTTCTTCCCCGGCGAGCGAGGGGAGCGCAAAAGAGAGGTGGGGGAAAAGTAAGTGGGGTGCTGGGTTGGGTTGTTTTTTTCTTAAAGCGGGCGGCCGAGGGGTGAGCGGAGGCGCCGCAGAGGGCACCGGCCCAGGGACGGGGACCCCCCAAGCGGGGGACCCTGGGAGCAGCCGTGCGCCCCAGCTCGCCGCGCGGGCCCAGCCTGCGCAGCGCAGCGCAGCATGGACACCTCGGGGCGGGCGGGCGGCGCGGCTCTCTCGGGGTTTTCATTCACTTTTTCCCTCCCCCTCTCCCCCGCTTTTAAAGGGGAGGAGGGTGGCGGTGTCGGGCTGGGGATGGTCTCGGCACGGGAGGGATCCGTAGGCCTCGCCGGGGGGTCCGCGGGGTGCTTAGGTCGAGGGGAGAAGCGGCTCCCGGAGTTGGGGCAGTAGCCGGCGCGCGGGGCGAGGAAGGGGCGGGTGGGGGCCTTCGCCCCTCGCCCGCGGTCCCCTCGGAGCCCGTTGCTCGAGACCAGCCGGGAGGCGCCGATGCCCCTGGCGGGGAGGGCGGCTCGGGCGGCGCTGCTTATTTCCAGGCACGCCTGTTTGCCCCGCGCCCCGCGCTCCTGCCCGGAGAACGTGCTTTGGCTGCCGGGAGGATCGGTGTTATTGCAAACCCGTCTCTGGTCCACAGGCGAGTCACGCGTGGGTTTGGCGGGTGAAGATCGGAGGGAGGGCAGTGACATTTCGAACCCTGGAGAGGTGGTCCCGATGGTCGCGCTTTGGAGGGACCAGGGGGTTCAGGTGGCCAGCTTCTTGTTGATCTGGTTGCAGTTTATGTAACAATAACAGTGACTCACATTTCTATAACCCTTTTTAGATCGGCCGAGCTTCCTCCTTCCTCAGCACCCCCCCACCCCAGTACTACTCCAAGCTTTAACCAATCCATCAACACACCTAGAATGAGGGCCTACTGTGTGCCAGGCATCCGGCTAGGCTCTGGGGGGCGCCAGGACCAAAAACAAGCCGAGCACCCTCGTGCAGCTCACGTTCCTTGGGGGTGGGGGGAACCTTGTAGGCAGGAAAGAATATACAAAATATTTACAATGTAAACACAAAGTAAGGGGGAGCAGTAACTGCTACAGGGATCAAGGTGGACTGTTTGGGATGGGGGTGGGGGGTGCAGCAGTAGCAGCTGTAGACATCAGGTTAGGTGGACGCTAGGAGCTGGCATTTAAAGATTTAAAGTTAAACTTTGAAGGAAGAGAGGGATTCTGAGGCGGAGATGAAGAGAGTGCATTTCTGCCCATAGGGGCCAGACAGCGTGTGCAAAGACGCGGAGATGGGTAATTGGCTTGGAGCAAAGACTGCCTGAATGGGAGGAAGGTAAATAATTCTGGAAAAGTAGCTTGGAACCAGGTGTTTTGAAGAGCTTTAGATGCTAAGCAGAGAAGTTTGTATTCTAGAGGTAGATGTATTAGTATCTCGAACCAATGAAGTAACAAAAGGCGTTTGGTTTATTCTTAATGGAACTAGTGTCTTTGGGAAAATAAAACCGAGTACTTTAAAAAGGATAAACATTTTATTGTAACAAGATGAATAGTTAATGTAAAATCTTTAAAAAATATATTTATAACCTGGTCTTGACAGAAATTTGTGAGTTAGTGTATTATTCCATTAATTTTTTTTAATTGCCAGGGGCTGACATCTTTGTGTTTTGCACTCATCAGATGTGACTCTCCAATTTAGTTTTTAAAGAAATCTCGTAGGAGTGGAGGAAACGTGGGAACAACCTGTTGTATAACCAACCTGGTTTGGAGAGACTTCTGGGCCACCGGTTACAATTGTGTTCCTCTCTTGAGCCCAAGGGCTATAAATGCAGTTCATAACCTTTGAAACCTTTTGCTTTTCCAAGATTCATCCCCACCGCCACTTTGTGGTGATTTCTCACTTTGCCCTTAAAAATGAAGAAAACTCATTCAGAAAGTGGTCAGACATTTTGTCTTACTGATTTTTTTTTTTTAGTAGAACTTCATTTTCTAGAGGCACTTAGACTGGGAGGACATGCTGGGAGAAGAATGCCTGTTTATGTGTTGAATTTATAGGGTTGATTGTGTATATCATAGAAATATAACCTTTTCTTGAAAGTATGTAACAGTACCTCATCTCAGGTCAAGAAAACAATCATTTTTTCCATTTTTTTGAAGTTCTAACTGAATTAACCACATTAGCAAAATGACACAAACCCAGATTTACACATCAATTGATCTGTTGTTTTTTTTTAGTCCTGCAAGAAATCTGTGGATGCACAATTTAAGTAGTCATAATTAAGAAAAACTTGCTGACGTCATAATTGGCAAAAGTGTCGGTGAGAAATAAATTTCTTTGTAAAGAGACTTGGTGAGACGTTGGCTACACTCTTTTATGTTTTTCATAAAAGCATTTTTTCCTAACTCGTGAAAGTTATCAAGTAGAAGGACTGTTTATATGGAATGTTAGTATTTTCTAAATTTTATTACATTTAATTTTGAGTTGCAGCAAGCTTAAAATACAATCCCTAAATGGAGTTTACAGGTAAGCCAGTCAGTGCTTACTGAATTGACCCTAAGTTCAAAGGGCAAAAAATAATTTGAAACTGAAGTTCTTGTTTCTGTTAATAAAATAAGTAAGTAAATACATATATAAATAAAGCAAAAAGTGATTACTGTACGTTGATAAAGTCAACCCAAATACCAGCAGTGTAAATTTCGGAGCTTAATTTACTATCATCTTACTAATATAATATAGAAAAATCTTCAAACTGTGGGCAATGGGACAGTAACTACAAGTTGAATTATGGTCTTTGATCTTGAAAATATGTATTTTTTATTTGGGTGTTTCTATTCCAACTATTGGAATACTGCCATTCCAATAAAATATTATTATATAGGGAGAGGGAGAACAGAAGAGTAAAGTTTCTCTGTTCCACTATCCTGGACTGAACTGTGACAGATCCTTGACCTTTGGTGTAAAGATTCAGTTCAGTTCAATAATCACTTATTAAGCATCTCTTAAGTCATTGTGCTAGATGCTGGGGACGTAGACAGAAACAAAACAGATCTTGCCTTCAAGGAGTTTATATTCTGATAGGGGGATTGAACAGGAACAGATAAGTAAATACAAGATAATTTTCGGGGTGGTGCTGACCTGAGGCTTGAAGGAATTTTAGGAATTCTAAGAGCTGGAGGTCAAGAGTGAGTGCATTTTAGACACGGGGGCTAAACATAGAGGCTAACTGGTAAAAAGGGTGGAATAATGCCTATTAAATTTATCTTATGTAAAAAACAGAAGTTTTAGACTTTGTTCTTTCAAAATCTTCCTGGAAGTGCCTGGGAAAAAGTCTTGGAGCCTTCTTTAGGTAAGGTAAATACCTTACCTCCTTGGACCTTCATTTTTTTCTATCTCTTAAATTTTAGAACTGTGTCTAACTACAGTATTGGGTTTGAGTTGATGCCAAGGTCGGGGTTTAAGAACAGGACCCAGAGTGGTTGCTGGCCTTGGTCAGTGACTGGGAGTAGAGCCAGAACTGGTGTTTTGGGTTTGTTTTGCTGTTGTGATATCTTCCTCTTCTCTCTTCCTGCAATTTTTTTTTAAATTGCTTATGCTGAGAATTTAATTGAGCTGAGCAGGTGTGTAATATGGGATGGTCTTGGTAAAGTATAATTTTTTTTTTGAAAAACCACATTTTCCTGGACTATCTGGTAAATTTTTTTTCTAATTTACGTTTTCTGAACTATTTCATTGGAGACCATCTGGCATACAGAAATATAAGTTTTAGCGTTTATGTGCTTGGGTGTGAATGAAAAGTTTTTGATAATAAAATTATAAACCAGTAAAACAAAATTGAGATAAAAACACCCAGAAAAAGAGTTTAAAAAGTCAAGCACAAGAGAAAAGTGACATTTTAAGAAAGATCTATAAAATGAGAAGATTGTTTTTCATCTCTTCCGTTCTGACTTCCTATGATTATATTAAACAGATGAAGGGAACTAGGCAAAAAGACTCTTTATAATGTAAAGATTTATAGTCAGCTCTTGTTTTCTACTTATTTGGTTATATACAACAGACTCAATTCCATATTACTTTCTTTTCACTGAGCATGTTTCTGGACAGCCTCTTCTTTCCATTAACTTGAACACTTGTTAATGGTAACCGAATCAGAACATATTCGGGAATAGGTAAATATGTTAAGGAAAAAACACTAAACTTCAAATCTATTACATTACATAAATAAGTAAGGAGATTGTAAGATAGCCCTAGCTACGTTTTATGAATTTAAGACACCCGGGCCCAGATGAACTACAGGTGAATCTTGCGTTACCGAAGTAGGCTGGACCTGTATGTAAATTGATTCTCTATGTAATTTGAATTTTCCCTGGATGTGGGGAGGGGAAAGAGGAAGACTTGGAAGGTAGGCCCGCACACTATTCAAGGTCAGGTGGGGGGGCCGGAGGCCGGGAGGCCGGGTACAGAGAAGGGACGACTCTAGCTGGGGGCCAGCCACGTGGGGGCCTGACCTGAGGGCCACGTGAGAGCCAGACAGGTGAAGACAGACAACAAACACGTGGGGTCACTGGTGGCAGACACTGGGTACCAGAGCAGTGACTGAGGGAAGACACCCAGGGGCCAACAGGCAGTTAGGTAGGCAAAGTGGGCAAAGTTCTCTCTGGACACAGGAGATCTCAAGCCAAGTCCTTCATCTGGCACAACTGTGAAGCTCTGTGCCCAAGTTCACTTGGGTTTGTTTTTGTTTTTGGTTGGGGGAGTAGTAGCAAAGTACTGTATAGTAAAGTTAACAGATCTTTTTATTTTTTGGAATGCAGATTTCTTTCAGAATTCTTTACATAGTCAAATTTGCATTTATGTATGGAGAACTGCACAATCCAGGGTGCTGAAGGACCTGTTGCATGTGATGAATGTCCCAACAATTGTCAGTGGTCTTTGAAAGATCATGGACAAGGAGAGGAAAAAAGTTTAACGTGAGTCAACGATATAACATGGTAGCCAGCTAATGTTGATTATAGGCTTC